AGTCTTGCAAGACTCTGTCACTGTAACCTTACAAGAAAGGTAGTGACAGTGTAATGGAAGGCTTGAGCGAGGAAGATACTGGAATGGAGGATCAAGGTTATCAGGAGGGAGGGGGGCATTCCAGCCCAAGAACAACGATGAGACAGTCCAGCCCAATATAGTTCCTTTCTTAGCTCGCTCCTAAGAGACAGAACTTCGCCAGGCTAAACCTGTGCTAAAGCCACTAGTGGATATACCCCGTGAGAGACTAGCCTCATCCTCATCCAGCCTCATCCTTTTCCTCTTGCTGCAGACTGAGAAAGCGCTTGCTCTGGAATGTCCCTCCTCCCTCCTGATAACCTTGATCCTCCATTCCAGTATCTTCCTCGCTCAAGCCTTCCATTACACTATCACTACCTTTCTTGTAAGGTTACAGTGACAGAGTCTTGCAAGACTGAAAGTATTTCTCCCCTCCTTTCCTTTTACTCTCCAGAAAACCAGGGAGGATCCCTTCTGAGATGCTTCCCACACCCCCTTTCCTTCTGTGGGCTGAGATCTCTCTTGCCTGGCAGTTGTCCAGGCCGCGTCTCTTCCTCCAGTCTCCCAAGGTCATTCTTACATCCCATTACAGCCCTAAAGCCCTGGCCTTGGGTTAGGGTGATTGGGGCCACTTCCATATTTATTTGTGGGTGTGGGTATTGCTAGCAGGACTCACCATTAATTCTCGTTCTTTATTCCTTTTCTTTCATAATTTTATTATGTTGTATTTTTTATTTTGTTTGGTTTTATTGTATACCATCCAGAGTCAGTTTGGAGTCGGGCAGTGCCTAAATTGAAAAAAATCAAATTAGATTTGGTCTTTTATGGTCAGTTTTATAGTGATATGCTCAATTCTATATCACTCAAGCCAATTTAATTTGATTTTTCTACAGTCTGACAGTAATTCTTTTATAACATACAGCATTGCCATACTTAGCAGCGTTTCAAATTTGCAGGGTGCTACTAGATAATAGCCTTCCTGATGGTATATAGATAGTAAACTCAATTGTATTTGTACAGCTGCTGTTAAAACATTCTTCTTTGTTCTATAGTAGTTAATCGGTATAACTTTTATTTTAAAATATTTTTTTATTCCCATCATATTATCTTTTTTATATGGAGGAATGTAAATAAAGTTCTCAACTTGTAATAGTTAAGGGCTGGCTGTATGCAGTTAATTGTCGGAGCCAATAAAATAGGACAGAATAAGTGATAAATGAAAAAATTAGCAAGATAATAGAGAATGCTGATAGGTGCTTTTACTTCGCCACCCTGTTCCTCCAATGAATGCATTTCTTTTAAACTGAAGATTTTTCTGACTTGCTTTTTGCTTACTATTCCTATATATTATATTATTTTACATTAGTATTATTTTAAATTGTATTCTTTTCTACCTTTGTGCTGGCATTTCTACCATCAGCTCTAATGAAATGTTGATTTGAATTTAACATATTGAGTTTTATTTAATTGAGATCTGTTCTCCTTTTCTTTCCCTCTTCCCTGCCCCGCCCCCCCAGCTTTAAAGAAACATGCCAAGAAAACGGGTATTAGAAAAAGATGACATTCTGAAAGCGAAACGGACCAAAGGTGAGATGCCCCTTGCTTGGGAATATTGCTCAGTTCCAAACATTTTGGAGACACAAAAGTTCCAATCTTATCATACAGTTGTCGTTGTTTACCAAACCACTGTTAACTATGAACAATGTCAGCATGTTGGGAAGGTGTTTCTTTGGGTCAGTGTTTCTCAACCTTGGCACCTTGAAGATGGGTGGACTTCAACCCCCAGAATTCCCCAGCCAGCATGGCTGGC